GATCCTCAGAGACCTCAGAGCGGGCTCGGGCTCGGGCTCGGGCTCGGGCTCGGGTTGACTACGCGGGATCTCATTGTGGCATTGAGGACAGATTAGAGAAATAAGAAAATAGCGAACTTTTATGCGCTTTGATTGTTTTGTTCTCTCAAAATCAATAACTAGTTAAGCATGTACCGCAGTAAGAAAGAATAAGATATTCACGAAGAATTCCAGCTTCACCACCGACTGGCGAGGGCGTCACAATTAAAGAAATTACACGTTAAACATCTGCTACACTGACAACTAGCCTAGACCCGGCTAATTCTTCAAAACCAACCGGCGCTGACCAAATTTTGAAGATGCTAGCATGAATACACCGCGATGGTATATTTGATTGGAAACTTGGCTACATGGGCTGTAGACAATCGATCATCGTTTTCAGGCGCGGCCGCTCAGCTTTCACGAGGGGACTGAAAAATACGAAATGTCTGATTCCTGAAAAAACTGAACGGAAGAAATGCAAGAATATGCAAAACATATTGTTCAAAATGGAGGTTTATATCTACTTCTTGAGGAGTATCCACAAGAAAAAAAATATGTCTATATCCTGAAATTGCGTACTTTACGCCAGCTTTACGCCACCGTTATGCTCACTTAAATTTCGTGTTTCGTGCTGTGGAAGTAGGCCAAAGTTTGGAAGAAAGTCTACGAGGAGGCAAACTTGTACAACCTAGACGAGTACTGTAAGCTCATCTTTAATTCTGTCCGACTCCGTCCGCTTTTGAAAATTTTTGATCACTGGGGCGATGTTTTGATTTGTTTGTTGATAAACATAAGTGCGCCTTCTCATTGGTTGAAAAGTGTCGCGTGACCAGTTGGCCCTGTCCTTAAATTTAGGGATATTCCAGACTGTTGTTAAGAACTTAAAAATATTTTGAGTAAATAATAAAACAGTTATTGAATTCGGCTTCTGTATGAAGGACCCATGAAGTGAAGAATTATGCAGTTTTCGGAGGCTGTTATCCACATAACAGTCTCCTCGGTATGCAAATTCACTCAATAATTCATAGAGAGAAATGCTGGACATCTAACGTTATTCTTTTCCTTTCCATAGTGTTCTTCATATAAACTAAAATTTCTTTCCATTTATCAAAATTGTTTATAGTCGTTGAAAAATTATGTGTGAGTTACCTGCGCTTTTGGAGTCTTCCTTACATACGCATCTGCCATTAATGAAACTTCCCCCATAAGAGCAATTCAGACAAGCTTCTTTCTCTCCGTATTTAGAAGACAAAACTGTTAGAATGCTGGTTAGAATAATCATCATGAAATTTGACGTTAACATGTTTAGACTTGGTAGACTTCAGTTCTTTTTACAGAGGCCTTTAAAAACCTGAAAATATATATGCAATTCATATTGAACCGGCAACACACACTGAATCAGTCCCGTGTAGCCTCTGACCTGGCTGCTATATAGTTTGAGGGACATGATCGATCAGGCATTTGTTGCTTGGGTAAATTCTAAGGGTAGAATAGCTTATTTTGCCTGCCGTATTATGCTCGTAAAAATTACTTTCCGTCTGCTTGAAATTCTGCTCAAAAGCCTACATTTTCAGCCCCTCAGGCCTTAAGCCAGGGGTAGCCTGTGTACGGACCCCACCTCCCCTAAGGAAAACTCGGAGAAGGGGAGGCGGGCCTGTACCAGGCTACCACGGGCTTAAGGACTGAAAATTTAGGCGTTCGAGCAGAATTTTAAGGAAACGGAAAGTAATTGCCAGTTACACATGTCCGAAATATGGGCCAAATGCTCGCCTCAAAAATCGCTAATTCTGCTCGAAATTCCAAAAACAGAATCAACCGAAGTCCGTCCAACCAAGAGATTGCTTATTCTCTCTTGGTCCAACTCATGTATCAACGCATGTGAGTCGTGGTCCGCGATCAAAGTACACTCAGTACCGTCAAAGGCTGAATCACGAGTGAAATGGTTTAGGTTTCCCGTATATAAAAGTTTTTAATAAATCGCGGGCCACCGAAACTTATGTTATGTCAATAATAACATTTTAAGAATATTCTACCACACATAGAAAGTGGCATCGACTGGGCGGAACTGGCCAAACCAAACCAAACCGCCAAACCAATCAATCAATTTGTGTCAAGAGTTGTTTGTGTAAAGAGGCTATTAAAGAGTCTCACAATAGAGTGGTGACAATCATGGTCAATGTTCTCGGCTTTTAGATGGTTAATAGTAAATTTGTCTCTCCTCGTCTAAAGAAAAAAAGTCAAATTTTTCCATCAGTCCCTAGGTGTTTGAGGACCTTTCAGGGATGAAAATTACAGTATAATAGGATCCATAAATTACGAGACAAGACAAGTCCTAACAAGCAATGTTGACCCTCTTTTTTAAAAAAAAAATGTGGCTAAAAAAGATTACGCAGGGCAAGGGAGAATTATGGGGTAGCTGTCCCCAGAATTCTCTCTTGCGCCAGCCGGGTAGAACGGTCGAAATTCTACGCCAACCGATTAAAAGTTTCAGCTGTTCTACGGCCATCGGCCAAAATCATTGATAACTTTTATTGAGTATTCATTTTTCGTCTTCAACAAAGGATTTTTAGAGATAGCCGAGGGAATTATTTCTTGCGGAGGAACTGATAGTCATTCCCCTTCCAGGTATTCAGGGGGAACATGTGATCCGAAGTCGTAACGAACAAATATGAAACCGTCTGACCCTGACCTTAATGAATTACTGAGTAGCTGATAACTTGACTTACTGTGTTTCTTTGCTATGCTTCCGCTGCTTTGCTTTTGAAATAACACAAAAATTCGACCAGAAAACCACACTGGAGGCAAAGAAACAGAGTCATGAAAACGGAGCAGGTTATTTTCATTTCTTGCTGGTATATATATTTTGACGTTATTTTCATCATGTAGCGAGGTCCAGCCGGTCTTTCTCATTCAAGTCCGTCTTACAGATTCAGCTGTTGCATAACATACAAATGGCTGTTCATATTTCTACTAAGGGCTACCAGTTAATAAATACATAAAATAAGTTCTTCAAATTTGTGCAACATTAAAATAAATCCAGTAATTATTGCGGGAAAATGTTCTTTTGAACAGGAGGTTTGTTTCAACGGTTTGGATTTAACGTCTATAAATTAGATCTACTGAAGGATGGGAAACGGAGTTAAAATGGGGATAGCTTTCGTAAAAGAACTAACCGTTTCAGTACTTATGTAGTCTGCAGGCAAGCTGTTGAGCTATTGAGGGGTCAGTCTTCGGTTTTCGATTTTGAGGCCACAATGGCTTAAGCCTTGAAGTCCCTTAAATGATCGTAAGTTCTTGGTCACGTTTTCAGACCCGTTGAAACGGTTTCGTCATTTGCCCAGGCTGGCATTTTCCAAAAAGTCACATGAACAGTACGCTCACCAAACGTTGAGCGTATTACACCAATTAGGTTTGTTTCTACAGGCTTGCAACATGCCTACAGCGCTTTTTAACAAGTTAAACAAACATTGTCCTTTATCTCTGTTGAACAAGAAAAAACGAGGGTATGTGAAAGAGCGCGGCCGAGCATACAAAACCAATAGAGACTCCGGCGTACCGGTATCGCTTAGGGAAGTATCAGAAAATACTGTAAGGAAATCAGATGAAGAAATTAGAGAAGAGGGAAAGAAGGAGAAGGAAACGTTCGAAGAGAAGTCAACGTTACTATCGCAATAAGCGAAAAAAATAAATGCTCCCAGTGGGAAGAAATGCGGCTAAAACTGCCATTAATTGTCTGTAAATTATATTTTTCAGAACGCAGCAAATTTTAATAGTCAAGAGAATCTCAAGATCATAACTTTCATAATATACTGTTTCTTTAATTTCCTTTGCCGTAATTCTTATCTCATCTTTGAAAAATTGTAATTAGGGAGGCCTAACTGACTTAACACAAGCTATATAGTTTCCTTTTGGCCTCCTCGCCATTATTTTCTACATTTTTTGTTATCATGTAATTTATCTGTGTGTCAAATATAATACAAAATACAAATAAATAAATAAATATTACACTTTTCGCTTGGGTCGATACCTAATCGGCTATGTAGTGTGCATATTATCGTATGAAAACCAATGAAACACCAAACCATTTCACTTAAATATTTTTTGCAGCGAAGGGAGCGACTTATTGATAACTGTTATTTTAACGTGTAAACGTGTCATGTCTTCGTGGAAAAGCTCACCTGGTATTTCATGGGTGTTTATATATAACTTCTCCTAACGATGCATGAAATGAAGACAGAAATATCAATTTGCAATGTTACTCTTTGCAATTATATTCTGACTCAGATTTTACAAAGTTTAGAGGGATTGTAGCCAAGCCAGTTAGCCGGTAAGATGAAGTTAATGGTGTGTTCTGATTGGCTTCCTGAGGGGGCATCTAGCCCGCACTCGGGATTTACCGCTTTCGGTTCAAGATTGCTGGGTATTGACTTTGTCTCAGTTAAAAAAAAAATTAAGAATGAAAGGTCGATTTCCACCCATCTTAACCGAACAAGGCTGATCAATAACGCATTTCAAATTTCAGTCATAGCAGCTGTTCTTTTTTAATAAGTGAAAACCAATAAAAAAATCACCAGGTTAAATTAATATAATTATTATAGATTATTTCTCTGAAATGTAACTAAAACATACGCATGGGACTTTCAAAAACGCTCCTCAACAATGTACGTAGAAACAAGCTAGATTTGTTGAGTATTTCTCGTTATCTTACTGAGAGCGTTCAAAGGAAAAGAAAAGACCTATTCCACTGGAAATATTTAATCCTGATCGTCCTTGCGCGATCTTCTTACAACTGCCCTGGAGTTAAATCACACAAGCTGTCAAGGGATCAAACAACAAAGCGCAAGGAACACCTTAAGTTATTGATATTGACTTTTAGTCACCCAATTTTTGTGTTGTCATAAATGCAACTAATCACAGTCAAACCTCAAGAAACTATTTAAGTCTACTAGTTACAAATAGAGTCGAAAATCTGAAAGAGGATGGGGAGTTTTATTGTGGTTAACTGTCTGCTGAATGTCCTGCTAATGCTCCCATCAATCACTGGCAATGTTTTCGTGTTGGCCATATTGAGAACCTCTTCTCTTCGTTCACCGTCCACAATTTTCTTATGCAGTCTCGCTGTCTCAGATCTTCTTGTTGGTATGGTTGTACAACCATTTTACATCGCACATCAACTGAATCCTGGACCGAGATTAAAAGATGCATTCGACGCCTTCTCTTCTTTATTAGGCTGCGGCGTTTCTTTGTGTACAGTGACAGCGATAAGTGTGGATAGGTTTTTGGCTTATCACATGCGATACCCGAATCTGATGACGGATAAACGCGCAATGTACAAATCGTTAAGTCTTTGGTTCTTGATGAACCTTGCATCATGTCTTTATGTATGGAACATGACCTATGCGAGACTAGCCTTCGTTCCCAGGATTGCCATTTGTATCTTGGTTTCTATTTTTCTTTACATCACAATTTATCAAATTGTTCGAAGACATGAGCTTCTGATTCATATACAATAGCAAGCAGTACAAACTGTTAGTGCTGATCATAACCTGAACTTACTGCGATCACAGCGAAGTGCTATAAACACTTCTATTTATTACGTCTGTATGAGTTTGTGTTATTTTCCATTGATTACAAAACTGTTAGTTGTAACCATCAACCCCAGATTTCAGAGACAGGAGTGGGATTTGACATATACTGTGGTGTATATGAACTCATCAATTAATCCAATTTTGTATTGCTGGCGTTTACGTGAACTTCGAACTGCAGTTTCAAAGGTAGTAAGAGGGTTGCTATGCAGACAAACACAGAAAAGCTAATCCGCGGTTTATCTTCTGAGACCAAAATAGCTATTTTTTTCTGCTTTATTATTGCAAAAAGGGCGATAGTTTGGTTAGTTTCACATTAAGTTAAGACAAAATTTATTCGAATGATGTAATAGTTACCGAGATAAAAGTCTTGACATGATTTGCACCAAGTATATATTTTCCTTTGTAATTTATGCCGGTTTTAAGATAATAGGTTCCTATACAAGGACAAGAAGGATAACATGGCTTTCATAACCAGAGGAATCCACAACTATGGGGACCCATTCAAGAACGACTACACGGGCTCGTCCATACTTGTCCCCAGAGCCCCTCGGCTTTATTTGACCATCTGATCGAAAGCCGGCAACGACGGGCTCTGGGATGACAATAGGCTTCGGCGTCTCTATCACCGTAACTCAATATTTAGCCCTCATAGATGCGGATAAATAATATATAGATTTAGCCAAAGCTAAAAGAGAAGCGTCCTTTCGTATACTTTGAATTGCTTAAAACCAAAAAGAACAAAACGAATAATCTTCAACCTATGAAAATTCAGAAATTTATACTTAACTGATTTTAAAACAACAAGAGAAAATTATAATCAATTAATTCGATCACATTAATAGTCTTGGAAAAGAATTCTTACCCATAGGTATGCATTACTAAAAATTCTTGAGTTCATTTTCGTTCCGTTTTTCTTGTCGTGGAAGTTACAAATTACAAAGGAAACACTAAACATGGGTTTGACTTTAATGGTGCTCGTGCCTTTTATGAATAAAACTATACCATTGAATATAAATTTTGCACAAAAGCAATCATAATCACAGGCAGAAAAATGTGTTTTCATTATGTTTTTTGTAAACTACCGTTACCGAAAAAGACGTCGAGGTATATTGACTGGTGGGCGTGGTGCATAATCCCTAAAACCCTTAATTTTCAGAAGAAACGCATATGCACATTAACTGCTGAAGCGTCTAATCTGCATTTTACCAACATAGGTCCAAACAACACTTGATAATGACACTATATGAGACCAAGAACTAACTCTCTGTGGGTTCTCCCAGGGTTCAGTACTTGGACCACTTTTATTCCTCCTGTATGTTAATGATATCCACAAGACAATAGTGTGTTCAACTTTTATTTGTTTGCCGATGACACTAGCATGTTGTATGCTAATAAAAACTTAGTCGCGAACTTGACAAAGTTAACACTGAACTTGGAAATCTTTGTGATTGGCTGAAGACCAAGAAACTATCACTTCATGTTACCAAGGTTGGGCACTCCAGCGAAGCTGCTCAACTGATCCACCGAAGGAAAACGGCCGGAAATTCGCTCCAACTGCTCCAATCGCCCCCAAATTCCGCCTAGGCAACACACAATAGTTCTTCTTTCCATTCATTATCTTGCTTCAAAACTCCTTTGCGCCGAGAGCGAATCAAAGGTCGCAAATCTCTGCAACCTTTCCCGTCTGAAGCCCTCGACTGAGGCTCGGCCTGAACTCCGCGTTACCGTTGAAAGATAGCGACACTGCCTGAGACTCAAATTACTCGCACTCGGGGTGGGAGACAGTCTCATGCTCCCGTTGACACAATTGGAAAACAACGGGAGCAAGAGAACGTCTACCGTTCCATCATATCTTCATTTCCTTAAATTTAGCTGTTTATTATTGTTATTTTAATCGGTAACACCTGTACAAAATGGTAATACTGAATAAACTTGTTGTTGTTGTTGTTATCTCCCACCCCGAGTGTTTCAAAATTCAAGACCGAGATTAAAGTGTTTTTCGCAATTCTGAGCCCGAGACTCTGTGCACCAAACATTTTGAGATGTAATCATTATGGTAAAAATAAAGCTAAATAAAAAGACCAAAAATGCCAGTGGAAGCTAGCGAAAGCCCATACATTTGTATATTCAATATGCTGCTTTGTCTTACTTTTTCGGTCATAATCAACTAGCTCAGTTTGAGAATCTGTACCCTAGGTACCATTCTATACCCCTATAATGGGAAAAAATTTTCAACAATCCTTTTAAACATATTTATTTTACTTTATGAATTTATCTTTCTCCCAAAAAAATGAAGCCAGCGGAAAAAAAAGTGTAACTCTGACATGTTTTACAATACAATACATACTTTATTGACATCTCCCCATAGGGATTTTTTAGAGACAATAAATAACAGATGAAAGTTAAAAACTATACAGTATAGTAATAAATATTAAAGATGATAATCAGTTTGGGTAATTAAAAACTAACACTAGTGGCAACAGGATAACTCATCATAACCTATCGTAACTCATCATCACTCATCATAGAAAGTCTTTATCTAATAGATGTTTTCTTAAAGTTTGCTTTTGCCAAGCTTAATTTCAGATGGTAAATTATTTCAGATATTAACGATTCTATAAGAAAAGGACCTCTGTCCTGTTTTAGTTTTAAATAATGGAATATTCAAGTTCTGCGAACTTCTACTCACCCGCCCACTTACGTTGCCTCTAAAAATAAAATTTATTTAACTAACTATATATTCTGGGGCCATGTCTGTCATACACTTAAAAGCCATAACGGCATCTCTGAATATATAAAAATAATTGCTTTTACTGGTGGCGACCTTATGTTCATATAAGCACTGGAGTAACACGATCGTATTTCTTAGTGTTTATGCGGGCAGCAAAATTTTAAACACTTTGCAGCTTCCTAAATAACATTTTAAATGTATTTGTTTTCTTTCGATGCTTTTGCAGAAAATCTAACAGAACTTATCAAGTGCAACTTCCTCATAAATTGAAGAGTTTTTCTATGGCGAAGACTCAAGAGTCAGTAAAACTGCTCACCAGTGTTCATTTTGTCTAGAATTGTATCACACACTTGTCAGTTATTTCTACCACTGCGACTTCCATTTCCAGAGATGGTATCCTCTAAAGATGTAAAACTCAGTACATGTACCTCTCCCCTTGAATATCATACACCCATCCCAATAATGAAAATTTATCCTTTTTCCCAAATCATAATGTGGGTGAGGCTCAGGACATTATTTGTACTGGTGGTCTTCCATTAAGTGCAGGCCAACTATCAGTCTCCTCCACAATTCACACATTTCAGTTTATATATGATATACATTGAATTACAGGTCAAAATTTTATTGAGGTTAAATTTTTTTAAACCTAGGTTTATTCCCTATTTCCTTTGTTCCCTTGCCCTAATTATTTATGAATTAGGGCTAGGAGACAGATGAAATTGAGAATCAAAATAGGTTAAAAAATTTGAACATTATAATTCTGATGTGTAACATATACTTGCAAAAACTGGAACCAGAAACCAAAAAGATAAATTTTACGACGAGTGTTCTGTACCAGTTAAATAATGACTCCCCCCACCCCCCCCCCCCCCCCCCCCCACAACCACCCCCCCCCCCCCCCCCCCCCCCCCCCCCCCCGCGCCCACACACAAAAAAAAAAAAAAAAAACAAAAAAAACGACAACTGGCAACATCAAACAAAAACAATAAAAGAAAGACACAACACTAAAAACAAAAAAGATCTTTTCCCTACCCCCCCCGTTTCCGTACTTAGAAAAAAAAAAAGGATAAAAATTTTGAAAATTGAAATTTGAAGGAGAAAAAAAAACTGCAAAAACCGGGACACGAAAACAAAAAGAAAAACTTTTACCCCGAGTGTTTTTCACCGGTAAAAAAAGGCCCCCCCCCCCCCCCCCCCCCCCTCCCAAGGAACTGGTTGCCTCCCGGAGCCCTGGACAGTACAAGCTGCGAAAGAAGAAAATAATAATAATAATAACTGTAAAGAGCATGCTTACTGGGCACAGTCAGAATCCTTTATACAGTCAAGACAACTAATTAAGGTCATGGACAGTGACTTGATGTTTGAGGAACTAAACTCCAGCAAGCCATCCAGAATCTGTGTCTAATAATAAAAATAACAAGAAGTAGAAGAAGAAGATTCTGTAAGATTCTGTTGATAGTACTTTTAATTCACCTGCCTGCGAAGGGATAGTCTAACAGTGGTGAATTTTCAAAACATCAATAGGCTGCACAAACTGATTCAAAAGCTATGGAAATGTCTTCTTAGCCCTATTACATTGTATAATAATAATCTGATCAATAAATAATAATAATAAAAACTCCTACCGTAAGACACGTATGGTATCATTGTGCTTTAATTTCCACAGCCTATATGATCATTTGTATTACATTTTTTCAGTCACCCCTTGGCACCATTTTGTTATGAAATGCATGCAGTGTTCCTTGCAGGTCTTCTAATGCATTTAAGTTACCGGATCCTGGAGGAGTGACGTTGTCCGATTAGAGAAAAACCTTTTTTCTTTTTATCACAGGGTCATGTTTGTGGCTCCAAATCAGTCTATAGGCGACAAAACCTTCGCGTTTTTCATTATTCAAATCCTAGTCAGAGCAGGAATTAAACAATGGTTAAACATAAGATCAAGATACACATTGTTCTTGCTTAACCCACTCGCCCCCTCTGAATTCCGCCGAAGATCGCGTTTCAGTAAAGCCATTTTCTGGTTTAAATAGCGAAAACTTACCACAAAACCCAAGGCAGGTCATGCACTTCGCGGCCTTTCTCCAGCAAAGTATTTAATGCAAGGTGGAATGTAAGGTATTACCTTGCAAATTTCAGGCATGCGCAGAAAGCAAAATTTCGAGATAGTTTTTGGGTTTAAAAGTGACAGAGCAGT